TCGTTCTTCGCCGCAAGACAGAAGAAACGCAGGCTCTGGGTACGAGATTGATTCTCCCTATGAAGTTTAATTTACCCAAGGTGTTGATGATTAATCAGAACAACATTTTCTCTAGGTTGTTTGTGTTCAAATAAGTCAATGAGACTTACCATTATGAAATACCGGTCATGTGGTCGTTCGTACAACTCGCGTTAAAAAAACATTTAATGGGACTTATAATTAGCATTCACCCTCGGGGTCTGACCACAAGATAAAAAAAAACTAAATGGGACTTGGACAAACGGCCGGTAAATAGAGGATGGTCGGATGATAAGCGACCGTTTAATAGAGGTTCTACTTAGATCTCTCACACAAACTCCTATTTTTAGATAACACTTTCAGTATCTCATCTTCAATGCAGTCTAAAGAGAGAATGTATTTTTCGTCAAATCATTATTAGGAAAGTTTTAAGGTAATGAGGGTGGGCAGGATCTCTTAACCAAGCAACATATCCTCAAGTATCATTTTATAGATTATCTTCTTACCGAGTTTGACATTTTGAAATTTGATCCAGATGAAAAAAGGAAGCGTGCATGTTGACGAATATCAGTCTTGGTTTTATTCATTTCCTATAGATGAATTTATGACTGCGGCTCTTGTCTAGTACAAGACGTTCCTTCATACTGACAGGCACTGCATGGCGTCACAAAAATCCTAACGACGCTCTCTGTCGGAAACAATTTAATACATGACATCCTTGGCTTCCTGTAAAAAGTCAATCATTGTACATATCCTCTTTTTGTTATACCAGATTCCAAGCTGCAGTATGTATATTAATGCTTCCAACTGATCTTTTTATCTCGGCCGAGATACTAAGAGTTTTGCGAAAGGGAAAACAAAATGGCGGGCGATGAAAAACACATTTCCAGTTGGTCCTATCACTTGCTATCTGATAATAGAACTAGAATTGTCAGTCGGCCAGTTTGTACTTTTAATTGGTGTGGGATCGCTGGTTTTTGACGACAAAACAAAAGTATTTCGATTGTCGGTAAAAATAGGTGTACAGTTTGTCTGAGATGACTATTCAGGAGGTTTTGTCAGATTTTTATTGCTGCACTATAATCAAAAATCCATTACCTTTGTAAACCCGACTAGAACTCATGTCATCCGCCAAGCCTATTTGACTTTGCATAAGAAGGCTTTAAATTTTCCAGAATTTTGATATTGAACAAAAACTCTTCATTGTATAGTAAAATGTAAGATTCCACCCCTACCCCCCTAGAAAGCTCGCTTTATGACAGTTATCCGATAGCGGCGTTCATGAGGAAAATATTGATAAATGTGCAAGAGGAAGACTCATTGACCGCAATCAAATAAATAAATAAATATAAAACCTTAGGGGAAAAATAAGAAAATAATGAGGTCTTTATGATGGTCACTGAATTGAAGAAGATGTGCGTAATATGTACAAAAACAAAGCAAAAAAAAAAAAAAA